GTCTCCTGCTGACTACTCTTTCTCTGACCATCCCCACGGACTTCTCCTCTGCCGTCCATCCCCTCTGACCTCCTTCCTCTGCCTGACCCTAACCCCCTTCCTCTGACTTTTCTGATTTCCTACTCTGGCATTCTCCCTCTGCCTATCCCAGTCTCCTCTATCTGACCTGTGATCTCTGCATTTTATCTCCCTCCCTGACTTCCTCCTTATGACCACCTCTCTCTGATAACCTCCTGACTTCCTCCCTCTGACCCTCTCCCTCTCATCCCAGCAAAGGAGGGGACTGGTCTGGCCAAACGAAATCCTAAGCCAGGCTCTCCTACCAGCCCCACCCCACGCAGCCCAGCCAGGGCTAAGTGGAACCACATGGCTTGGGCAGGGACGGGTGGGGGCTACCCTGGGTCCAAAGCCCCTGCCTGATCTCCCCTCCCCACAGCAGACTGTTCCACTGACCCCCTGACCCAACCTCTTGGCAGAAGCCAGATTCTGTAGAATCTGCTCATGACCTCACCCCGGGGTGGCTCTGCTGATCTCACCATTGGGAGCCAGGGTAGGGGGCAAGACTGTAAGGAGATAGAGGTTTGAATGAGGGCCCCCAACCCAGTTCATTCCGGGTCAGACTCCTCCTCCTTCAGACTCCACAAAGCCCTATTGCAGCCTCCGCTCTCTGTTTCCCCAGCCTCCTCATTCTGCTCTTTCTTTCTTCTGTCCCCCTCCCCGCCCTCTCTCTGTCCCACTTTCTGTCTCGATCTTTCCAGGTCTGTCTGTGTCCAACTCTAAATCTCTCTCTCTCTCTCTCTCTCTCTCTCTCTCTCTCTCTCTCTCTCTCTCTCTCTCTTTGTATTCATTTGTTCTCCCATCTGTCTGTCGCTGCATATCTCTTTCTCAGTGCCTATCTCTCTGTATCTCTGTGTGTGCACTACTCTCCCAATCTCTCTCCCCATATGCCCCCCTTAACCCTGCTGTCATCACCAGCCCTATCTCTAATTGCGTGTTCTGTGACTGGACTGTCATTAAGAGGTATTTGGGTTATAGCCCCCTGGGGTAAGATCTGGGCTCCCAGGCTCTGCTGACCACAAGGGTCACGCCCCCATGGAATGACCATCCCAGATACTCCTTCTCCAGGCTGGGACCCAGGGGAAGGCTAAGTAAGATCCATGACCTCACTCAGCATGGCTCTCCCAGGCTCTCCCTTCTCCCAGACCCCAGTCTCTATGCAGTGGGAAAAGGTCTCCCCTTGACCAACTGTTCATTCACACTTAAAGAGTCCTTCCCGCAGCTAACCCAAATGTCTCCTGCTTCAATCTTGTATGCCTTCTGTAATGACCTTTCAGAAACTGACTGCCTTTTCTTTTCATGGCTGGCTTCTTGACAAGGAGACACACAAGAGGCATTGAGTCCTGCCTGCAAAAGTCAGGGGGTGAGAGTCTGTAAAGGACTTTCCCCCCCACAGTCTCTCCAGTGTGGCAGTCAGGGCCCTAAGGAGAGGTCGAATGGGGTGTAGGATGTGAAGGCAGGCAGGCAGGAACCAGGCTGCGACATGGCTGGGATCCCTTCAGAAGTGTAAGACAGCGCAAGTGTGAGTGCCTGTGCAAATGTGTATATGTGCTACATGCATGACATTGTGCATGTGCGTGACTCTATATGGACCAGGGAATGGCTAGGTGTGTGATCTGTGGTGTGTCAATGTGAGTATTTGGCCTATGATGGAAAGATTAGGTTCAGTTCTTTGACTTGTGGCTGTGTGTTCCTGTGAGTCTGCGTTCTCGCAGCGAGGTTGGGCAGGTTAAGTCTGTGATTATAATAGTTCCGACTCAGGATGAGGGACTGTGGTTATTTATATGTGAGAGTGTGGCCAAGTCAGCGAGTGGGTGACTTGTTGTGAATGTTGACCATGTTTGTATGGATGCCAGTGGAAGCATGTGTGAGTTTGAAAGCGTAGGAGGGTGACAAAAGCCATGACCGTGTGGCGGGTGGTTGAGGGGATTGCCTGGGTGTGGGCACCGGTGTTTAACATTCCTGGTGTCCCAGAGGGGTTGTATTCTGAATGATTGCCTGAGATTGCACGACTGTGTGGAAGTGTGAGCGTGGGAATGGGGCATAGGCCAATTTGGGATTATTCACGTAAGCAGGCACCTCCCTAGACTTCAGAGAAACTGAGAAAAGTGTGTGTGTGTGTGTGTGTGTGTGTGTGTTTGTGTGTTTGGGGGCTGTGTTCACCTTACCAAGGGATTTCCGAGAGGGCCTGGCCTGGGGTCTCTCAGACCAAAGCTCTCTCCATCGCCACTGGAGGGACCATGACCTTCCCAACCCTGGGTGCCCCGCACCCGGCACCCTGCGGGGCGGGGCGCGGCGTCCAGCCAGATGCGCACAGCTGGGCGTGCGTCAGCGCTGACTCACCCATCCAGAGGCCCCCAGGACCCCTGAGGGAGAGCTCCTGAGAAATTCCTCCGAAAAACACCCGAGGCTCGCTCAGCTGGAGGGAACAACTTCCACTCCAGCCCCCGCCAGAGCTCCGGCCCGCCCCGCCCTGCGCCCCGCCTCGCCTCGCCCCTCACCGCGGCCCTCCGGAGGCCCTGTCCATGGTGCTGATTCCGGCTCTGGGGAATGTGGGGTGGGGGGAGGGGTAAGAGGTGGAGATAGAGGAAGTGGGCGCGCGCCAATTAGGGCAGAGGAGGAAGAGGGAAAGTAGGGTAAAACCACTTAGGGAGATGCAAAGGAAAGTCTGAACCCCGATTAACCCCTTCCCATACTCTGTCCCACTCACCATAACCCTCAGAATCATCCTCTCATGTCTTTACAGAGAGTTATTTATGCCCCCAAATCACCACCGCACCCTCACTGGGTCACCCAGAGACACACAGTCATAACGCATAACACACATACGATTATTCTCAAAATCCTCCTCCCCCACACACGGACACACTTGCACACCCACAACTGACAATCACACACTCACCCAGGGATCACCCCTCACCCATACATATACAATCATCGTCAACTCACACTCAAAGTACACACACAATTTCACTCCAAATGGTCAGATACACACACACACACACACACACACACACACACATAAATTGCATTCATTCCCACGCACCCACCAGTAAACACGATTACAAGTTTCCCCGCCTCCCAGCTGTCACACCCACAAATCGCCCAGAGTCGGACACTCGCACACGGTAGCCACGCGCAATGCGCATGCCCACCCCCCTTCCGGACTCCACCCCGTATTTTGGAGCCTCGTTGGATCCTGCACTCTGGGTCCTATCTCCTCCCTCCCGGCTCACCGGCCTGTGTCCGGGGCAAAAGCTGCAGCGAGGCCAGGAGCAAGCAGAGGCCGGCCCACGGCTGGACCATGCCGGCGGGGCCCACGCACAGGGCGGAGGGGCAGCTGCGGGGCGCGGCGACTCCACCGGCTCGGTGCACGCACTCGCGGCAGCCGGCTTCACTCGGGATCAGCAGGAGACTGCTCCAGACACCGCCCTGGCGTCGCCCTGCGATCCAGAGCCTGGCCAGGCGGGACTCGCGGGAAGGGAGGTGGCTGACAGCTGGTGGGGGGAGTTGGGAAAGTTTGTGCTGAGCTCTGATTGGTCAGCTAGGGGTGGAGCCCTGGGCCGGGCGCTGGGCCCTTCTTGCCCCACCCCACCCTGAAGGAAGAGGATCACTCCCACCCAGCCTTAGAATTCAGGATCCCAAGCTTACCCCCAAACCTTTTACTCCTAACAAGCACCCTCAAAGGAGATCTTAGCCTTATTCAAACCCTCAGCCTCCATCCAGGCCCTGGAATTAGGGGGTACCACATTATAGCAAATATTTTCTGTGTCACCAAAGGCTCCCAAATGGCATCCCAGCCTCACACCAAACTCTCACCCACCTGCCTTACCCCAGTCGCTTAGCCCCATGTAAGAGGTACCAGCCTCAGCCCAACGCCTTCCCTTCAGGTCCCTAAATAAGGAATCCTCTTCCCACCTCAAACCTCACCCCAGATTACAAAATGGGGGTTCCAGACTTGCCCCAAACTTTCATCTCTCCACCCAAATTCCAGAATCTGATGTCCTGAGCCCATCCTCAAACCCTCACCACAGGTTCCAGAATACTTTTCTTGATTTCCCCTAAACTCTTAATCTTCCTATAAAGGGTTCCACCTCTATCCCTTGCCCTCCTCTCCCAACTCAGGTCTCCAAATGGATGCCCCAGCCCCAATCCCAATTCCTTACACATGCCCCCGTTAAATGGGAGAGTCTGGCCCTACCCCAAAGCAGGGCACGGCTGCAGGGATGGATGGATCACTGCCATTCCAGGGGTGAGACAGAGCCCCCCTCACCCTACTGGGACCCCCCCCCAGTGTGAATAGGCCCCAGGGGGTCAGGTGGAGCTGTCTGGGCAATTGAACGCATGAAGACTTGCAGGATCTGAGGAAGCTTCCACAGAGAGGAACCCAAGGGGCGTATCCTGGGCCCTGAACTGCACCACCCCCTCCCGGGGAAGGGGGAGAAGCCAGCAGTGCCTCCCTCTCAGACTCTGGCTTCTCAGACAAAGAGTCTCTGTCCCTGGAGATGAGGGGGTGGGGCCCCATCTGGCCTGAGAAGGAGGAGGGGGCCCCCAGGGTGGGGGAGCAGAGGGAATCTCCCCAAGCTGCTCCTCCTCACTCCCCAGAGACATCTGAGGCTAAGACTTCTGTAGCCAAAAGGCTCTCATAGAGTTTCTGCCCTGCCTTGCTGGGAAGTTCCTACTACATCTAACCCCATCTTCTGACATTTCTGTGCACATTTGAAAGGACCCTTCTGGGACCACGCTCTCTGTCACCATCTCTCCCTTTCTCCCTCTAAGCAGAGATTCTTTGCTCAGAGTAGAGACAGCAGGAGAATGCCCCTGCTAATTCCCCATGCTCCCTAAAACTGCCCCCAGCCCTGAAAATTTTACAATCATAATAAAAAATCCCGTTATAACTGTAGCGGTGAGGAGAAGAAATTCTTGACAGATAAAGGAAAGGGGTGTATTGAGGTTAAGGAATTCTCCCCAGCTGCCTGCCCAGGGTCAGTTCAGAATCAGGGGTTCATGGGGTCCCTTCACCCTGCAGGTGATCATTTGGAGGGTGTTTAGGAAGATGGGTAGTGGGAGTCAGGTGCTGGCCAGCAGAGGTCACACGTCCAGGGAGGGGATCAACATGGCCGACTTTCCCCGGACTGTACTAATCTCAGGCTGCTCGTCAGGAATTGGCCTGGAGCTTGCAATGCAGCTGGCTCATGACTCCAGGCAGCGCTACCAGGGTAAGGGGCCCAGGGCAAGGCTGACAGGGGTAGGAATGGCTTCCAGGACCCTCAGCCCCATTGGCACTATTTCCACCAGCCCTTCCCTTCCAACTGCATTTGTCGGCTTGGGGGCCCCCTCCCCACCTCTCCTCATGAATCATCTCCTCACCTAGTGAATATTTCTTGAGCATCTACTGGGTGCCAGGCACTGTTCAAGGTGCTGGAAATACAGCTGTGAACAAAATAAACTGAAATCTCTGCCCTGGTTAGTGGTGTAGTGGGGGAGTAGAGGGAGGAGAGACAATAAACAGATTTAAAATTTTTATAATATGTCCAATGCTAAGAAGCAAAACAAAGCAAGGGAGAATGTGGTAAGGGGTGGGGGTGGGTGATAGTTTTAGAAAGGCTGATCAAGGGGGTTTCACTTAGGCATTCTCTAGGACTCCCTTCCCCCACCCCTTCCCAGATTACTGCTCCAAGATAAACCTCTTAAGTGAATCTGACCTTGGGAGTTCAAGGGGGGCCTCTAGGCCTAGGAACTTATCCTCCTGCAATTCTGGAGTCAATTGCCCCAATCTGCACCCCACCCACGGAGACTTCTGACTCAGAGCAAGCTGGAGTCCAAGTGGGCAAAGGGCTGCTACTTCAGAGGAGGCTGCAGGGATGAGGGCATTGTCCCACTTGGCAAAGCTGCTTCTCCCAGCCCTCTGCCCTCTGTCTTAAAGACACGCCCAGCTTTGAGTATGACAGTCTGAGTGCCAGTACACAGGGAAGTCATTGTGCTGTGTGTGTCCCCGTGGCAGGCCAATAAGTATATAAAACTGCTAAAGGATGACGTTTATCGAGTGCTTACAATGTGCCCTGCTGTGTTTTGCATCTAGTAAGATATTTAATCCCCACATCACCCCTGTGGGTTGGCCACTATCATTTTCCCCATCTTAGAAATAAGGAAACTGAGGCACAGACTGCCAAAGATTTTTGCCTAAGGTCAGCCAGCTGGAAAGTGGCAGAGCCTGGATTTAAACCCAAGCAGCCTAGCCCCTGGGCCCACGCTTGTCACTATACTGTGTGTAGATGCATGTGACCCCATTCATCTGGGCAGCACCCATGAATCACACAGACTCACAGACAATATGTAAATACCCCCTAGGAGTGTGCATGTGTGATTGTGGGTACACACATGGGGGGTTTACAGACACGTATACAGGTACGTGAGCTCAGCACTCTGACAAACCCTGGTTCAAACCTCAGTTCTAACGCTAGGGATGGGACACGCAGGGAAAATCAACTTGCTGAACCTTAGTCTGTTAATCTGTATAATGAGGATAACTTTACCTGCCTGATGTGGTTACTATTGCTAAATAACCCTTAAAATTTATGATGTAAAACAATGATAATCATTTATTTCTCACAGTTTACAAAGGTCATGAATTTGGAAGGGCTCAGCTGGGTGGTTTTCACTGAGGGTCAAAGGCTACAACTAGAACAAAGGAGGCTAGAACGTGTCAAATCACGGGCAGACATCCCTCTCCCTTCCCGTAATCTCCGTATGATCTCTCTCTCTGGGCTAGCTTGGGCTTCCTCCCCGTGTGGTGGCCTCAGGACAGCTAGGCTGCTTGCTACAGGATGGCTGACGGCTTCGAGAGTGAGTATGCCAGCACACAAGGCAGAAACTACAGCACCTTTTCTGGCTTAAACTCAGAAGCTACACATCACTTTTACCATATTCTGTTGGTCTCCAGGTAGTCACAAAATTCAAAAAGAGGGGAATGAGATTTCATGCCTTGCTGGAGGAGAAGAGTTCTAATAGAAGAGTGTATGTGATGAAAAATGTCATGGCCGTCTTTGGAAAATAAGTCAGTCACCTAATCATAGGGCTTTTGTGAGGATTAGTGATAGTGCTTATAACAGTGTTTAGCACAGTGTCAGGCACACAGTAGATGTCCAATAAATTAGAACTTATGTTGATGATGTAAATGTGTCTATTCATATTTGCATGTGCACATAGGCATGTATATTGACCCTAGGTGTATATGCATTTTTTTCTCAAGGAAATCTGTCCCATATTTATTGTATTGTCTAACCCACTAGACCCTAGAGTCTAGTGACTAGACTATGAATTTCATGAAGGCAGGGGCTTTATCTTACTTCATGCATTAGCCTCAGCACCTAGAATAGGACATGGTATGTAGTAGATGCTCAATAAATGTGTTGGATGGATGGATGGATGGATGGATGGATGGATGGCTAAACATGTAAAGATTTGTACACAAGTGTGCATTTACGGATGTGTAGTGAATGTAGGCGTGTAAACCTGTGGGTCTCCATCCCTCTGTGACTGCTCATACAAGATCATAGAAATATGCAAGTCCACACACAAGGGAAAGGAGCTAATGCCTGCCCCAACTCAGCTCTCTCTCCCCAGTGGTGGCCACCATGAGAGATCTGGGAAAAAAGGGGACACTGGAGGCAGCTGCCGGAGAAGCTCTGGGTCAGACCCTCACTGTGGCCCAGCTGGATGTGTGTAGCGACGAGTCAGTGGCCCAATGTCTCAGCTGTATCCGGGGAGGAGAAGTGGATGTGCTGGGTGAGATTGAGCAGCCCCTGGCGTCACTCGGCCTATCTCTGGCCTAAGTACAGATCCTCATCTCAGCAAGGCCCTCCCGTGTCTGGGTACCAGCTCTCTTGCTTCACCAGCATCCTCTGACCCTGGACAGAAGGGGTAGACCCATTGGGCAAGAACCCGAGATGCCAATCAGTTTGTTAGGCATATAAGAAATAAACTGAGACCTGGGGTTGGGTGTATTTTATTGAAGAGAACTTCTCACATATGGAGGAAACAATATGTGGTTGGGAAAATTAGTTTTGAGTCATTTGGAGAAGGGAGCATGATGAAAAGGCAACTCATGGTCTCTTAATGGCCTTCTAAGGAGGGTGGATGTGGCTGTTTTGATGCAATTTTTGGTCAGAGCTGAATTGCTCATGCATTAAAGGGGAGGCTGTTCCCAGCAGCCCTTCCCCCCATCCAGGGATCAGGGTCCTCTATAATAAATGCTGAATTATATGTGAAGATCATCAAAGCTCCACATTTATCCACCCAAGATATCCTGGACTAGTCCTGGATTTCAAGTGGGTGGGTGGGTGGGAGGGGTGATTCAGGGAGTATCCCTGGAGAAGTGACACTAGAAGGGTTGGGGGGACTTCAAAGTAACCCTCAGTATCTCCCCCTTAGTGAATAATGCTGGAGTGGGCCTCATGGGGCCCCTAGAGGGGCTCAGCCTAACTACTATGCAGAATGTCTTTGATACCAACTTTTTTGGAGCTGTCCGTCTTGTCAAAGCTGTGCTTCCTGGCATGAAGAGAAGGCGGCAGGGCCACATTGTGGTGGTCAGCAGTGTCATGGGGCTGCAGGGTAAGCTCTGGGGACCCACACCTGAGAAACTTCCCAGTGTCTGACCCTCCCCAAGCTAGAAGGCTGGCAAATAGGTTTTAGCTCATATTCTAAATGAGTATGTATTGAGAAGGATTCTGAAGCTCAGAAGGAAAACTTCTGGGATAGATTAACTATGTCTGCTATGGTGCAGGAGTAGGCAGTTGTGGTATAGATGCTGCTAATGGCCATCCACATCCCAGTATCAACCCCATTTCTGGACACCTACAAAAATCTCTTCCAACCATCCCCCCCAAACCCAAGGAACCATCAGAACCCCTCCTGAGACTCCTCCTTGACAAACACCCCTGCCAGACCCCAGAGATGTCTAGACTTGGGATTCTGAGGTTCCACAGAAAAGAGAACAGTGATTGACTAGTGATGTCTGCTATTGGCCTACTATAGAAACCACCTACTTGCCATCCATGCTGCTGGGTCTCTCCTTCTTGAGCCCATCTAGACTCCCTTCCTCCCCATGAGCATTTCCTCAGGTCTGCCCCACTTCCCAGCAGTCCCCTAAGGAATCCACCCTATTAATTTTCCTGCCACGGAGAAGCTGCATCTACTCAGTCTATCCTTTGGCCCCTCATCCAGCTGCTCCCCTGACCTCAAGGGCCACATTCACTGCTCAACAGGACTGATATGGACCCAGATAAATGGGACTTGCCTTTAGGAACCCTGGGGATCCCATGCCCAAGTGGTCCAGGGGTTTAGAGGATAGAGGGAAATAGGGGAGTTCCCTGGGCTGAGGGCAGATGGAGCACTGCTGGGAAGCGGTGGCACCTGGCACCCCAGAGAACCACATCCTGAGCCCCTATGCTCCCATCACACAATACCATACACCCATCATGTTGACCCTAGATAGCCCCTCATTCTGATCTTCAAACCCTCTTTGCTCAGCCTCCCAAAAACCCCATCTGTCTGGATTCCCAAAGCCCATCACTCAGACCCCCAAAGGGTCTGCCTTCCTCCAATCCTCTCAGGTGTTGTCTTCAACGATGTCTATGCAGCCTCCAAGTTTGCCCTGGAAGGATTCTTCGAGAGTCTGGCCATCCAGCTGCTCCAGTTCAACATCTTGTGAGACAGGCACTTGGGCAGTGAGGGGAAAATAGAGACAGAGAGAGGGGAATGGAGGCAGTGATGGGGCAGAGAAGGAAGTGGGGGTAATGGAGGAGATGAGAGAATAAGGAGGGATGAAATAAAATGAGAGAAGTGGGGGGGGGGAGGAAAGAGGGACAGTAATGGGCAAAATGGGGCTGTGAATGGTTTGAGGCACCAGACCCCTACCCCGTCCCTTTTCCCAGCATCTCCCTGGTGGAACCTGGCCCAGTAACCACTGACTTTGAAGGAAAGCTCCTGGAGCAGGTTTCCATGGCCGAGTTCCCAGGCACTGACCCTGACACCCTGCACTACTTCCGGGATCTCTACCTCCCAGCTTCCAGGAAGCTCTTTCGCTCTGTGGGGCAGAGCCCACAAGATGTGGCCCAGGTGAGTGGGGGACCCAGAGCCCCAAGACATGGCTCAGGTATGTAGGGGGCCCCTCCCAGCAGAACTCCCGTTCCTGGGTCCCAGAGCTCAGGATTCCACCCCACAGGTTATTGTCAAGGTCATCAGCTCAGCCAGACCACCCCTACGACAACAGACGAATGCCCGCTACTATCCGCTGATGGCACTCAAAGCCGCTGACCCCTCTGGCAGCCTGTACGTGCGAAACGCCCACCGCCTGCTCTTCCGCTGGCCACGCCTCCTCAGCCTTGTACTCCGTTGTCTGGCCTGCAGCTGCCTCCGTACCCGGGTACAGCCCTGGTGAGCATTGTCCAACCCTCCTCACCCCTGAACAGCCAGACTTCTTCAGTACACATCCATCTCAGAGGCCCTACAGACTCTTCATTCATTCATTCATTCATTCATTCATTCATTCATTCAGCAAACTGCCTGAACTACTCTGTGCTTGGGCGTTGCTTAACCTCCAGGCACAGATCCCTCTGTGGTCAGGACTGGGGCAGAGGGAGGGAACCTAGGACCCTGGGATGAGGAGTCCAGAGTGAGTTGCTAGTGCTGTGTCTGGGAAGGCAAGGGAGGCTTCCTGGAGGAAGGTGCATTGTCAATGGACACTAGAGAGTGAGACAGACTGTCTCATTCAACCTCAGGACTTTATTATCTTGGGCCTGGGAATACAGGAATGATCCAAACACCTCCATCCCCCTCCCACACAAGCATAGAGCTGGGGTGACTAGAGGGTCTCTGGACTTTCCTGGTCACACACTCACTCCATCAGTAAAATGTGTTGGTGCACACACCAGCAATGTACGAATACATATATTTTTCATAAAAATGTCAGTGTAACCGCTAACAATCGCTATATTAACTATTTACTAAAGCTCAATTTCTCTTGTCTAAATAAAAAATTATAAAGCAGTAGGGTCCACCTCACACCCATGAGAATACTACTATCAAAACAAAACAAAACAAAACAAAAAGGGCCAGCCGAGTGGCGCGATGGTTAGGAGTTGGCTTGGGACGCCAGCTCTGAGCAACAGGGCTTTGGTTTGGATCCCACATGAGGGCCAGTGACGCTGCGCCCTCTACAGCTAAGATGGTGAACAACAGCTCAACCTGGAGCTGGGCTGCCATGAGTCGGAGCGGATGGCGTGGGCTGCAGTGGGGCTGCAGTGGGCTGCCATAAGCTACCGTGAGTGGCTGGCAGCCAACGTGAGCTGCCAGGAGCCGCTGTGAGCAGCCGTCCAGTGGCTGGCGACCGATCTGCCTCACCCGGGAAGAGCGCAATGATAATACCAACATGGGCCAGTGAAGCGATATCCTCCACAACTAGACTGAAGAACAAAAGGACAGCAAGTTATCTGTTCCCCTTCCCCGATTCCCCAACGCTGTTCCCTTCTCTCAATTCCCCGATAAAATCTTTAAAAAAAAAAGAAAGAAAGAAAGAAAAAGAAGAAAAGACGTGTTGGCAAGGATGTAGAGAAATTAGAACCCATGTGCACTGTTGGTGGGAATGCAAAATGCTGTTGCCTCTATGGACAGCAGTATAGCGGTTCTTTGAAAAATGAAACAGAATTATGATATGGCCCAGCAATCCCATTTCTGGGTATTATCCAAAAGAATTGAAAACAGGGTTTCAAACAGATATTTGCACACCTATGTTCATAGCAGCATGATTCAGAATGGCCAAAAGGTAGAAGCAACCCAAGTGACCATCGATGGATGACTAGTCCAAATGTGGCCCATCCATACAATGAAATGTTATTTGGACTTAAAAAGAAAGGAAGTTCTGACACCTGCTACACCATGGATGAACCCCGAGGACATCATGCTCGGTGAAATAAGCCCGACACAGATAAATACTGTATGATTCTATTTATATGAGTTCCCTAAAGTAGGTAAATTCATAGAGACAGAAAGTAAAATGGTGGGTGCGAGGAATGGGGAGTTAGTGTTTAATGGGGACAGAGTTTCAATTTTGCAAGATGAAGAGTTCTGGAGATGGATGGTGGTGACAATTACATGACAATGTGAATATACTTAACACTAGTGAACTGTACACTTAAAATGGTTAAGGTGGTAAATTTGTGTTATGTATATTTTTACCCCAAGTAAAATTATTTAAAAAGTAATAGGGGTCCCACTTGAACCCCCAAGACAGTGTCCCCAAGATTCTTGGCCCTCCTCTGGAGAATTTGGAAGCAAATGGACTCTGGGTGTAAATGCTGGCTCTGCCTCTTGTTCACTGGGCGACTCTGGGCAGGTGACTCCCCTGGTCTCAACTCCTATAAAGCAGGCTAACAATACAGTGCTGAAACAACAGGAAAACTCCCCTACAGTTCTGCTTCACTTGGTATTTTTGTTGTGGTTCAGGTTCAGCTGACACCTTGGAATGTCAGGCTCCAAGCAAAGTTTTTTATTAACTTTTGCTCTGCAGCCTCAGGAGATGGAGACACTCAGAACTCCACCCCCCACCCCCCCAACCCCCGTTGATAAATAAAGAAACCAAGGTTGTCAGGAGCAAAGGGAAGGGATAGCAATCGAGTCCAGGGCTATACAACTCAGTCTATGCTGATCTTTCAGGGTCTCTAGTAACCTAGGACAAGGGAAACTGAGTCCAAGGCGGTTGAAAGAGGTCTCTTTGAGAGATAATGGGGGCTACTTAATATGTTTTGTCAAATCAACCCCTCCTTCCCCTCCCCATGTTGGATTTTTGAAGCAATGTTGGAATGCCTGCAAAAGAATATGTGAAATTAGATTGGGGTGATGGTTGCACAAACTTGTGAATGTACCAAAAGTCACTGAATTGTGCACTTCAAAATGGCAAATTTTGTGGTATGTGAATTATATCTCAATTTAAAAATTAAATTAATTTTTAGAAGAATATATGAAATGAACGTGTGCAGGAGGTCTTTGGATTGCCTTAGGAGGCTCCCCCAAGGATTACATCAACCAATTTCCTCCACCTTTGGCTTCCGGTTGTGTTGGATTCTGCCAATGGGAGGCATTATTGATGGAGAACAAAGGGTGGGAGGAGAAAGACCAGAGTATTTATCCTCCAAGCACCCTCTATTTGGGGTCTCTGTGGATTCGCAGAATCTCTCCATCTAAGGCCCAGCTCCAGCTTCGGAGAACCACTCCTTCCCTTTGGCCTTTTGGCTAAAGATAGTGATGGGACCCCCAGTTGCCAGCAGGATGGCACTGTACTATCCTCCATAGGACTCCCGACCCCCTGCCCTTCCTTTCACAATTGTCCCTGTCTTCATCACTCCCCAGTTTACCCACTTTGAGGGTGCTATCTCTTTCCATCCAGGACACTGACTGATGGAGTATGCGTATGTTAGATAACAGAGGAGCAAATGGCACACACACTAGACCACCACCCGACTCCACCAGGAGAACATTATTGATATTTACTTCCCGCCTTATGCCAAAGGTCTCCAGCTGTCCTGAATTCTATGTCCAAAATTCCCTTGCATTTTAAAAAAACTCCTTTAACTAAATTATTTTAAAACACAAATTTTTCTCCTTGCCAAGAAGGAAAAGCCATCATAGTCACCGTAAGTGAAGCCACACTTGATATCTATTTGCAAGTGGGGCATACAGTGTTCCAAACCCCACACTCATAGACTCTTGGTTCCAAAAAACGCCAGACCGTCTCTCCCAGCTTCCCTTGCAGCTGGAGGGTGACCATTTGACCCCAGTTCCACTCATCAGATGCAGAGGATTTAGAACTGAGACCCAGCCACCCAGAGAAGGCGGGCTCAGGAAGGGGAGGTGGCAGAAGAGACAGGAAAGTTGCATTGCCAGGACTGGCAGCAAAAGCTAGAGCTGCCGGCTGATTTCAGGGGTGATGATTTAAGCTGTGGCCTTAGCTGCTGCCCTGCAACCCCACCCCCCCCACCCCCGCTTGGTCCCTTTTCATCTTCCAAGGGGCTGGTGATTGCATGAGCCCCCAGGTCCACCTGATAAATTCCTTTGCAGCTTAAATCACTCTGAGTCAGTTTCTGATGGATTTAAGGAAGAACCATCACCAATCCAGATGGCAACTATAAAATTAATGCGGGGGGGGATGGGCTGTTATTAAATCTAGTTGGATGCTATTATTATTTTATTTTTTACCATGGGGACCAACAGAGATTGACAAAAGTTCAGAAGGTATTAAAGATATTCACATAAGAAACCTCCAAACCTGTAAAGAATTTTTAGGCGTTTATGAGTCCAACTGATGACAATTGCCAGGAAGCAAAATCTCAATGGATTGAGAAAATGCTCTGGAGAATGGCGGTTTTGCAGCTTATTTTACACATTAGAAGGAGGTGCCACTTAGAAGGAGGGTTACACGAAATCCATTAGTGATAGATAAAGGGGGTGGGAGAAAGCAAAGCGGGGGGAAATCACTGGGATTGGATGAAAGTAAATTGGAGAGACACATTCTTCTTTTACATTGGTGATTACAAGATAGTTAACATTTACAGCACTTAGAGATGGTATGCAGGGAACAAGATAACAATGAGGGGTTCCGTGGTCTCTCTGGTGCGGTGGGTTGTGCCCTGAGGGATCCAGAAAAGCAGATTACTCTGACATTTCAAAGGTATGTTATCTTAGATGCGCAAAGACAATAGACAGGTTCGCTTAAGGTAAAGATGGATCCTTGTCAAGGAAGCTACAGGTCTAAGATGTGACTACAGGTCTGGGATAGGACCTGCCATGACCCACTTTTAGTTAGTTACGAATTTTTATGTTCAGACCATCCTATGTGTTACTTTTAGTCTCTAAGTTTGTAAGGCCTGCCATGCAGACCTCCCCTGAGCTTGGCCCCTTTTTTATCCACAAAGACATGTTAACCTTTGGCTCTTGATTTCTGCACACATACCCGGCCCCTCGTTCTACTCATCTTAGCAAAGATAAGTCATTCTTCTCATTGCTCATGCCAAAAATCTTGGCGTCATCTCTAGTTCCTCTTTGTCACACCTCATGGCCACTCTATCAGGATATCTTGTTCATTTGACCTAAAAAATATATTCAGAACCAACCACTTCACAACACCTTCTTGTCCCCCACCGTAGTCCTGCCACCAGCTTTCTCACCTAGAGTGTTGCACCAGCCTTCCCCCCTCCCACTTCCTGCATTTACCCCCCAACAATCCATTCTTCACATAACAGCCCAGAGGATCCTTAAAAAAATCTTTTGAATAAATAAAATGTTTGCAATGTGAACATTTTTTTATA